GGCCGCAAGCTGCCATCAGGCGGCCAGAAGGCAACTGGACTTGGAGCTTAGCTAGCTACGCCCTTCACAACTAAGAATAAAGGACTACAACTTGGCTGTTCCCCTTCCCCAATTCCCCAACACTGTTCCCCTTTCCCAATTCCCCAATAAAATCTTAAAAAAAAAAAAGAGACATTATGTGTCTCTTGATCCGCTACAACAGAAAGTACACAATACTGCCTGAAGTCTTGTTGCCAAAAACTTGAATCTGAATCTGATCAAGCATCTAGATCTAACTAATAGCTTACAAGATACACAGGGGATTGAGGAACATGTTAAAGGGAAGAACAAGGCTTTAATCAACAAAGTTCAGATTGTGGAAAATTCTACGGGTAAAATAATCTAGTTTCAAATAGAGGAGGGGAAAGAAAGAAACTGATAGACAAAAAGACATGTGGACCTTGTCTGGGTTACAATTTAAACAAACTGTAAAAAAACATTTATGAGACTACTTGGTAAATTTGAACATTCACTGAATATTTGATAATAAAAATTAAGTTTTGTTTTAGATATGATAATATTGTTTAAAGGAGAGAGAGATAATCCTTACCTTTTAGAGGGCTCAGCAAACTATGGCTAGTGGGACACCTGTTTTTGTACAGTGCACAAACCAAGGATTTTTTTTACATCTTAAGTGGTTGGAAAAAGAAATATCAAGATGCTTCCTGACATGTGAAAATTATATAACATCCAAATTTAAGTGTCCATTGATAAAGATTGAAACAAGGACATATTAATTTATTTATTATCAATGGCTACTTTTGTATACAACACCAGAGTTGAGTAGTTATGAAAGTGACCATATGGCCTGCAAAACCTAAAATATTTACTATCTGGCTCTTTACAGAAAAAGTCTGCCAAACCCTACTTTACAGCTACATATTGTTAAATTATTTACAAATGAAACAGTATACTGAAAATTTCCTTTTCAATAATGTTGTGGAAGAGGAGGAAGATGAAACAAGATAGGCCATGTGTCGATAATCCCTGAAGCTACGTAAAATACACGGGTGGAAGGGATCGTCACTCCTTTTTATATATGTTTGTATACAACGCAATATAAATTACTACCTTAACTTCTGTATACATTTGAAGATTTCTTATAATAAAGTTAAAAAAATCTGCATCACTCTATATTGACACACAAAACATTTTACAAACTCTGTGAAGGAATTATGTTTAAAGTGTTTATGGTCCATTACTATTTGCTTAAAAATGTGCCAAACTATCCAGATTCATAAAAAATGTACACATACTACACTGATGAAGCATATCATTTTATAAGAGCTGATAAGCCATACACAAATCCAGGATTATCAGAGAATCAGAAATAAACACAAATCACGGGAAACGATATTCAAAAGTATTAAATACTTTTTTATGATACCAGGGCTCTAAACATATTCAATTTGCTGCAGAAACTTAACAGTCAAAAGATAAAGAAATACTCTTAGTTTTCCTGAATAAATGAATTCCTTGCACAAAATAGTTGACAAACTGAAATCACAAAGTGTATTAAAATTATACTACCTCTTCCTTTTATAACTGAATGCTTTACTGTTTATATATATATATATAAGTACATCAACTTTACTGGTAACAACAGTAAATCTGTAACGAGAATTTATAGAACAATGATGATCCAAAAAGGTTTTTACTATTAAGATTTTTAGCTATAGGTAAAACAAACATAATAAAAACCAGGGAAAATGGATATGTGAACTTTATTTCAAAAGGATGAAATTTTTTCAAGTTAAAAACTACCAAAATATTATACTCACCAGTATTTTTGTGACCTTTTAGTATATAAAGTGGTGCTGGACTCTCCAGTGAGAAAATGCAAATGTTGTGGTCATTTCCTCCAGTGGCAATTAGTCCATGAGGGTATACGTCACTTGAAGGTATGATGCACACGCAAGATACGAAATTGGAGTGGCCACTCATACAGTGCATTTCTGTAAAACCCCTGTTAGGACTGAAAGGACATGGTAATTAATAAGACATACACTGGTCCCCTGACTTAGCCTAGGACATAAGTTGTCAAAGGACTTCATTTTCATTTAGTGTCTAGGTTGAACTTTATCGAGCATATGTTATTTCAAGTACCTATTGTATTAAATTGAATATTAAATAGATCATTGATATCAACTACTATGAAGGTTTATATCAGATTAGAAGTTTACTTAGGTTTTTTCATTGACAATAGTATGTTAATTAACAGGAAGAACGAAAGGAAGGGAGAGAAACCAGTATCTTTTTTTCTTTTTAAATTGGGGATTTGGGGGAGGGGAACAGTGTTGGGGAATTGGGGAGAAGGATCAGCCAAGTTGTTGTTCTTCAATCTTAGTTGTGGAGGGCACCAGTCACCATCTGGCTGCCCATCGGCAGCTTGTGGCCTCTAACCTCAAGGTGCTGTGTTCAATCTTAGTTATGGGGGTGGGTGTAGCCACCATCCCATGCAGGAGTTGAACCAGTAGACTTGTTAAGAGCACATGCTGTATCCACTGAGCCATCCAGGTGGCAGCTCAGCTAAANAAAAAAAAAAAAATCTATTTTAAGTCAGGGAAGAAAGAGAATTTCCCCATAGAAAAGTATTTTTAAATGTTCAAACACCTAAGAAAATTTTATTAGCATGAAGAAAAGGGAAAAGAAAACCTATAATTTGTGGAATGCTTTACCATATTGGTAATTAGAAAGTAGAAGTCAACATACTTTCCCCTCATATAAAACTTTTCCAGATGTTTGCTGATTAGCACCAGATGAGCCAACGACATCACCAATTTTTATCCACCTCCCTTCACTAACACTCCATTGATAGGCTTCGACTTTATCCCCATCTTTGATTAGACGAGTCTGTCCTTCTCTAGTACCTTAAAATAAAAAATTTGAGAATCAAAGGTAGAATGGTAGGGTAAAACTCAAGAACATTTAGATAGAAAATTTGTAACATTAAAATTTATACATAAAAGAGAATCTATATTTTATCAAACAAAAAATTTGGAAATATGATCCTACTGGAAAGTGACCAAAAAGAAAATAATGGTTAAAAGGAAACTTCATTAAGTAAAGGTTAAAAATGTGATTCTACTGGAAAGTAGCTAGCCCATCAAAAATAAAACAAGTTTTATTACTATATATCTTTGGACAACACTTTCCTTTACTAAATGCCTCTCCAGTCTTGTAGCTGCTCAGGTCAAAAAGAGTAGAAGGATCTGATTCTTCTTTCTCTCAACGCCACAGCTAATCTTTCAGCAAATTCAATCAGGTCCATCTTTAAAATATATCTAGAAAACTACCCTTTCTCACCATTTCCATTGTTACCTGTTGGTATAAGCCACCATCATCTCATCATTTCTCGGTTGGAATGATTCAATGGCCGTCTACTCCTGCCCAGCGGCCCCCTTTCGTCTGTACTCAACCCAGCAATCACAAAAATTCTTCCCAAAGTTTAAGGAGCTCCAGACAGTTCTCTGCTGGAGATCCTTCAATGGCTTCCCATCTCATCCTCGATTAAAGCCTAGGTCATTGGAGTGGATGATGTACAAGGCCAAATATACTCTGCCCCTACCTTTCTCTTCTGGCCTCATCTTCCACTATTCCTCCCCTCATCCCATCACCCCACTTCAGCCATGGAGTCTTTGCACCAGCTGTTTATCCTGCCTACGATACTCTTCAGACAGGTACTGGCAGGATTTGCTTCCTTGTCTCCTTAAAAACTTTACCTGAATGTCACATTCTCAGCAAGGCCTTCAGTGGCAGAGACAGCTAGCTGTCCTCTAGAGATTCACGCTCCAACTTCAGAGTAGAGCTGTGGCTGTCTAGCTGAGATTACATTATTCAGCCCCCTTGCATCTTATAGTCAATCCCTAGATGTTACACACTTAATGAGTATGGGTGAGTATGATATTGGCCATTTTCAGGCCGACTTCATCATCCTCTACTCTGCCCCTTTACCCTGTCTGGAGGATGAATGTCTATACTCAAAGTAATCTTGGAAATCAAATGTTAAAGATGGTGGTTTCCATCAGCTTGAATGACCATGAGGAGCAAAATTATTCTATAAACATGCTCCAGCATACACTACCATCAACTAAACTTTAAATGTGCAAAAAAATAAACTTGTCTTCTGTTCAACCACTGAAATTTTAGGGTTTATCTGTTACAGCAGCTAGTGCTATCCATTCCCTGACCATTTTATTTAAAATGATAAAACAGGGCTGGCCGAGTGGTGCGTTGGTTAAGAGTTAGCTTGGGAGCACCAGCTCTGAGCAGCAGGGCCCCAGTTTGAATCCCACGAGGGCCAGTGACGCTGCGCCCTCTACAGCTAAGATGGTGAATAACAGCTTGACCTGGAGCTGGGCTGCCACGAGTCGCCGGCGACAGCGTAAGCTGTAGTGGGCTGCTGTAAGCTACCGTGAGTGGCTGGCAGACAGCGTGAGCGGCTGGCAGCCAGTGTGAGCTGCCATGAGCTGCTGTGAGTGGCCATCCAATGGCTGGTGACAGATCTGCCTCAGCTGGGAAGAGTGCAATGATCACAATACCAACATGGGCCAATGAAGCGATGTCCTCCACAACTAGACTGAAGAACAAAAGGACAGCAACTTGTCTGTTCCTCTTCCCCAATTCCCCAACGCTGTTCCCCTGTGCCAATTCCCCAATAAAATCTTAAAATAAAATGATAGAACAGCCCCAATCCTTTATATAAGAGTATAATATATAAAAGTAATTATCATTATCTGACATACTTACATATTTACTTTTTAATTATCTGTCTCTTCTTGTAGAACGTTAATTGTGAGAATAGAGATTTTTGTCGCTTATCTGCTCTGTACTCCCCAAGGTTTAGAACAATGCCTGGCACACATTAGGCACTCAGTAAATACTGTATTGTATTTATTATATTGTATTACATATATATAGTAAAGAGTTGTAAAAAAAATAAAAACATGATATTAATGCAGCAGTTCTCAAAGTTTTGGTTTCGAGATCTCTTATAGTCATAAAAGGTATTCAGAAGCCCAAAGAGCTTTTTTAAATGTGGGTCATATCAACTGATAGTGGATTCGAAACTAAAAATGAGGAAAGTAAAACATATATTTATCTCATGGAAAACAATAATAGATCCATTATATATTGAATAAATAAGATTTAAAGAAAAATAAGTATATTTTTAGAAATTTAGCGAAAAGACTAGCATTGCTTTCCATTTTTGTAAATCTTTTTACTGTCTCTATAAGACAGCAGGATTTACCATACCTGCCTCTGCACTCAATCTGTTGCAATCTGTTGTTTTGGTTGAAGTATATAAAGAAAATTCAGCCTATCACAGATAATAGAGTTGAAAAAGAGAAGACTAGTTTAATAGCCCTTTCAGAAAAATGTGACTATTCTACATGAAGTAGGTCCTTAAAGATTACAATTTAGAATCTGAAACCGTATCAATGAATTTTTCATGCTCCATTACACTAAAATCCATTCGTCTACCTTACACTTTGAACAGATCTTTTACATTCACGATTTATAACACCATGAACTGGTCATTTGGAAATACTGATTAAATGAGCTACGTAGATCTTCCACATGTTTACACATTTTATTATTCAATATCAAAAAAATTACATTTGTTAATATTACTACTGATATCATTAGATTAGTCTTTTAAGTAGTGGGAAACTATCAAGCTCCTGGAGGCAGATACACATTTTTTTAAATTTCAATTTGCACTTGGAGAGTTTGAGCTTTATCTCTGGTAACAAATATTGTCAACTGTTTTTCTTAAAGTGACATGCTCACTTTGTTCATTTAAAAAAAATGCCTACTAAAGAACCAAGCCTGAATAACGTTAGTCATTCTTAAAAATAAAAGTGGGGCCGGCCGAGTGGCGCGATGGTTGAGAACTCGCTTGGGATGCCAGAGGGCCCCGGTTCGGATCCCACACATGAGGGCCAGTGAACACTGCCCTCCACAGCTAAGATGCTGAACAACAGCTCAACCTGGAGCTGGGCTGCAGTGAGTCGCTAGCGATGGCGTAGGCTGCAGTCCCTGTGGCAGTGAGTTGCCATGGGCTACCGTGTGTAGCCAGCAGCCAGCGTGAGCGGCCAGCAGCCGCAGTGAGCAGCCGTCCAGAAGCCGGCGACTGATGTGCCTCGCCAGGGAAGAGCGCAATGATGGTGCCAACAACTTGGGCCAATGAAGCAACGCCCTCCACAACTAGATTGAAGAACAAAAGGACAGTAACTTGTCTGTTCCCCTTCCCCCAATTCCCCAGCACTGTTCCCATCCCCCCAATTCCCCAATAAAAATCTTAAAAAAAAAAAAATTAAAATAAATAAATAAAAGTGGCATTCCATGAAAAAAGGGAATAGTTCAGCCTGCAACTTAAATGACTGCACAAGTACTTATCCTTGAGGCACCATAGTGCTTTGGTATACTTTACATGTAATTTACATTCTGTCATCCAGAATATTTAAAAAAAAAATACTAATTAAAAAAAAGTACTAAAGGGTCAAGATGTAATAAAACTAATTTTTAATGTTTCCTTAAGGACATTTTTGAGGGCAGATGGCATTTTTACTTTTAACTACTGTGTGCTGGTGATGAACACAATGAGTACAGAACAGTTTGATGCCATGGCCTTGATCTGTGAACTTTTACCCACCATTGCTTTGGTATACAGTAAACGTTAACACGGTGTAAAAGTCAACAACTTATTATTATAAATTTAGTTTTGACCCTATGGACATCCTGAAAGGATCTCAGAATTCCCAGGGGTCCACTGACCAGGTTCTGAGAACCACTGATATAATGGATCAGGGATATATCCAAAACAAGATTTCATTTGAGACACAGCTGTCCTCTAATTTTAAACTCAAATGATCCCCAACTCATTAAGCAGACATTGCTTTATTTAAACTCATTTTTACTTTTACTCTGTACAATCAGGGATTCCAGTCACCCAAAAGATGTTAAAATAAG